ACCAGACTACACAGCGCAACAACCCAGAAGACAGAAATCTTCATACTCACCGCTGTGAGAACCTCAAGTCTTACATATTAGAACAGGCTTGCGCCAATATTTTCGAATTCCATCGCTTTTAGATAATTTAACTGGATTAAAATGTTAAACGAAAAAAAAAAAGTATCAAATGATGACAGTTACAGCCATGTTAGATGTATATGACACTAAATTGTGGGACTGAGTCTGTGATGTTCTGTAACTCTCAGGGGACCGGATATTACAAATTTGTACGTCACCACAATGTTATAATACAGCAGGTAAACAATCCATACAGCCAGAATTCTAAACTAATACATCCGACGGTAACTCAAACACACTGTTTGTGTACCTGTAATAAAGTGTAAAGTTATTAGAACCAATAACTACACACAACACATTCGCCTCGGTTTACAAAGGAAGCAAAGAATGGGTTATAATTTAATAGATGAATAAAAACATGTTTATCAACATCAACACGGTGGCAAGGGTTGGTTTACAGTAATTTATTGGAAAACGGGAGGGGTTGTAAAGAAACATTTTAAAATTCTGCCGACTCATGTAAATCATGTTTATATAAGCTGACACAGCCAAATAGAGTAGCTCGTGGAAGCATGTTTGCCTCGCTCGCATGTGTGTGAAAAGGGGCGGGGGGGAAGAGAGTGACTTCCATAATTACAGATCAGTTTCGGCTTTTCCTCTTAGAATTTCCCGAAATGCAGCACTTAAAACGAAGAACACCTTATTGAAATGTGTAACATCAGGCAAATGACCAACACAGTTAATATCATAGCCACTGGGCACGATTCAAAGTTTGTTTCATAACCTAGTTCAATAACATTCATTTTAATCTTATCCTAAAGCCTACTCCTTTGTCTACCTAGTGGTCAGTTTAAAGGATAGGTTTCCCCATCAATATTCTACATACAGTTACTCGGTCCATCCTGATCTTCTGTGCTGGACTCCCGTAAGAACATCACGTGACCTGCATTAGTTGTTAAAAAATATTATATACCTTAATATCATCATTTCTACACTCGCCCCATTTATTTCAAGTCGAAATATTGTTTTGCATTATCTTGTTAAACATTTCAGTTTTACGAACATCACTGAAAATAAACCTTTAAAAGCTAATAGTCGTTCTGTTTAATCTATTGAAATAAATAACAATACTTTTGAACAACCGGTCGTTTCGGTCCCTGGCATTTAGGTAGCAGAAAACACATTCTGTTACAAAGAAAAGATGTTAAACAGATACGGACCACGGAAGAGAATTTCAGACGGACAAAGAAAATGAAATTGTAACCTCGTCTGCATAGTTCGACCGCATTACTGAGCTCCGGTTCACAACCGGAGTGCAGACAGGAACATAAATTCAATGCGCTTCACACCCGGATCACTCAGCCTCTCGGCATTTCAATGGGAAGATCTCGTATTTCGTAATTTGATTAACACAGTTATGTTCACACCAGTGGAGCTACACTTCACTCAGTAAAGTTACGGTCTCCTGGCTGAACGACCGGTGTTCGACTCACGGCAACACAGGAATTTTTCCTTCTACAATCAGATCTACTGCTCATCCAGCCACGTGCCCAACGGTCCTTGGCCGGAAGTGACATGGCGTAAGGTCACCACTAGCCTCCACCCAGTTCCATGATTAAGAATGCATGGAGTTTTAACTCCATTTCGCCACACCTACTCTTGAAACCATGTTTGCTCATGGAGCAGATGTTCTGTTCCTCACAGCAGAATAATAAAATACGTAAAAGAGGCAATGGGCTTCTGAGGTCAGGTGGACCTGTAGTAAAATTCTGAAGCCTTCTATCCTATTGGTGCAGATGGGACGCAAAACTATTCACATCCATCTAGGGTCAAGGTTTAGAATGCATCCTCAATAAGCCTTCATCTTGTGATGTCCAATTATAAACACAGGTACAAATTTTCCTTTCAGTGCTACAGTGATCTAACATTTAACGAATAACAAGCTATATGAATGACCTACAAACAATGTAATTAACTTGCAAACCTTTCAACAGCGTCACTAACCACTTCTCTGATTACAAAAGACACATAACAAGACTGGAAACGTGTACACTTTAGAGTACACAGAAATTATAAAGTTCTTCTTACGCCTTATCATGGACTACGACGTCAGTAGTGGTAACTTAATAAAAAAAAAACAATGATATCAAGGACATCAGTGGTATCCAACGTAATTGCTACAAAAATCTGATTCAATGCAATTGTGTAACAGATGGAACATTATTAGAGACGCGATAGACAGACAAAAAGAAACAAACATGGACGGACCCATGAGTATTTTTCCGCTTACACTCAACGTAAAAACACTCAAAAGTCTCTGGTTTATTCGACGGTACTGTCATCAGACAGCTTAAGCCGCTAAAGTATTAATAATGATGACGCCCTGATGATGGAGGCAGTATGACCTCTGAAACGTTGGTAAACATCGACCAGACTACACAGCGCAACAACCCAGAAGACAGAAATCTTCAGACTCATCGCCCTGATGATGGAGGCAGTATGACCTCTGAAACGTTGGTAAACATCGACCAGACTACACAGCGCAACAACCCAGAAGACAGAAATCTTCAGACTCATCGCCCTGATGATGGAGGCAGTATGACCTCTGAAACGTTGGTAAACATCGACCAGACTACACAGCGCAACAACCCAGAAGACAGAAATCTTCAGACTCATCGCCCTGATGATGGAGGCAGTATGACCTCTGAAACGTTGGTAAACATCGACCAGACTACACAGCGCAACAACCCAGAAGACAGAAATCTTCAGACTCATCGCCCTGATGATGGAGGCAGTATGACCTCTGAAACGTTGGTAAACATCGACCAGACTACACAGCGCAACAACCCAGAAGACAGAAATCTTCAGACTCATCGCCCTGATGATGGAGGCAGTATGACCTCTGAAACGTTGGTAAACATCGACCAGACTACACAGCGCAACAACCCAGAAGACAGAAATCTTCAGACTCATCGCCCTGATGATGGAGGCAGTATGACCTCTGAAACGTTGGTAAACATCGACCAGACTACACAGCGCAACAACCCAGAAGACAGAAATCTTCAGACTCATCGCCCTGATGATGGAGGCAGTATGACCTCTGAAACGTTGGTAAACATCGACCAGACTACACAGCGCAACAACCCAGAAGACAGAAATCTTCAGACTCATCGCCCTGATGATGGAGGCAGTATGACCTCTGAAACGTTGGTAAACATCGACCAGACTACACAGCGCAACAACCCAGAAGACAGAAATCTTCAGACTCATCGCCCTGATGATGGAGGCAGTATGACCTCTGAAACGTTGGTAAACATCGACCAGACTACACAGCGCAACAACCCAGAAGACAGAAATCTTCAAGAAAATATTTGTTTTGAAACATCAAGAGACAGGGATCTTTAGGAAAATGGTGTGAACGTGTGTCAAATCGCCTGTCCTTGTAGAGACATCAACTACGTTCCGGATCATTAAGAAGAGGTATTTATCGATAAGCTGAACACTTGTAAACTTTTCAAAAATGTCATAACGTATGAAGTTAGCTTTCGAGAAGAATTCCTTCTTCCGTCTTAGAGTTGGTCACGACTCGTGTCGAGGTAACGGTTCAATTCATCACCACCAGAAACAGCGCACAGACAAGCAAAACAAGGAACTGTTACGTGAAGCAAATCAATCATGGGATTTATCTGCTGGAACGTCTCTGTCTCCTGATATAATCATTTCTTTCGCGCGCAGAACCCTCCCCCCCCACCAATCACACTGCAGACCGGAGCTGTTCCCTGTCAATTCCAGCGAGGTCGATAGATCAGCCGGGTTCGCTGCTGATGGACCGACGTTGCTCAAAATCTAATTTGCTTGACAATTTTAAGCATAGAGCAAGGATACCGTACTTAACACAATCACGCAGATAGCTCTCAGGGCAGACTTTATCAACCTTTTCCAAACTGTTGTCTCGCTTAGCATTTCTTCGTACTTTGCGGAGAGATTTCTAATAACTTCTTCAAAAAGTTGAGTAAGAAACTGGCCTGTTCTAATGTACATTCTAGTTTAGAATTCCTTCAGGGAATACTAAAATCATGCTACTACCACCAAGATCTGCACCGGCGGCGGCTCCAGGCGGGCTCGCGCCCTGACCCTTCCGCGCACACCGCCTACGAGCGCATTTCGAACCATGGCGTTTGATAAACAAGAGTCTGAAATAAACTCGAAAGCTAAACGTCGGATTAATTGGTTTCACAAACGACTTTCGAAACCGCTGTCTTGTTATTAAAGTCGTAATTAAACTTCCTTTCCTAAACATGGGCCCCTTTCATTTTAGTAATTACAACTAGGAATTAAAATAGCAGAAACATTAGTCACATACTTGTATTCTCCGGGCAAACCATCGTATTTTCAAACAGAGTAGGCTTATTTATTTTTTACACAGTAAAATGTTTCATAAATTCGTATTTAGTAATACTTGAATAAGCTGTACTCACCGCCATTTTGAAACACCACAAGAAACCAGCAAAATATCGTCACCTGTAACAAGCATAATAGGTTACATACAGCGAGACGGCAATAAACCAAAATGACAGACAGATCATATTATTCCAGAGACTGCTATTTCGTCTGTATAATAAGAAAGTTTTGGTTAGTTGCTTGTTTGTACGGCTAGAGATCATTTGCTGTCAAGGGATTTTGGGCCTTATGAATATGTGTTGTTGTAACCGTTGCCATGGTAATGCTATTAAGGGATTTTGAGTCTTGTACGATAATATTTATGATTATATGTGTTTACTACTTCAGACCTGAAATTTATTAGTTAATATCATGAACGGATAATTCAAGGTTCTGATTTGCGTAGTAGTTTCAAAAGATGTTACAAAGAGACACCATGAGTACTCCGACACTGGCTTATTTTCTAACTTTTGACACAGCAGAATCTACAAGACCCCCACAGCACAATTATACGAAGGTTTAGAATTTATTAAAGCTCCAGTGATAACAAAGTTTTGTATGAAAAGCTGTTAGAAATCACGCATCAGCCACTGTATAGCAAATACGAAAGAAAGGATTAATAATTTCTGTTTCGGAGCTGCTACAGGTTGGGTCTGTGCCAAAAGGTTGCTGTAGGTTGAAGTGTAGTAATTGAGGTCCGTATGGAAAGGCTGCTGCTCTTTTAGAAGCCACCGGGGAAAAGATCTACATCAGAAGACTTGCTCGTTTAGGTCCATGTCTATTTTAATCACTTATGATTTATATAACGACTTTATCAGTGGTTTAGATTAGCCTATATAGTGTAGAATTGTATAACGATTAACGAATAATTAATTGGATAGGATATAGAAGGAAGATTTGATGGTATATTTAACGTACTATCAGGGTATTTGTCTCCAGGTCGAGATTCAAATGCAGCGCTGACCACTTTCGTGACGTCTGACAGAGGTCAGTATCAGTTTGAAAAATTTCACAGGAATGTTTATAATTAATTTTGAACCTCTAGTTAAACGTGACTTCCACGCAAATTCGTATGGTTATAGACCAAATAAATCAGCAATGGATGTTGTATATTTAGAAGTTTATTACTTCATATGCACTCATAAAATGTTTCAATGATTGGAAATGTGTAGGTCATGGCTTATTTTAAAATACTGACATTGAAGCCACAGAGAAAACCACTTTCATTAAATCAGTTTCATGTAATAAGTTTCATGACGACTTATTTTTTGATCAGGACAAAGGAGGAACAAACTTCATTTCAGTCTTCATCACGTCATTATACAAGGAGAATATTTTGTTCCTCTGAACGACGATAACGTAGACTATAAAGAAAAATACGATATTGGGTATATCGCATGAAATAAACTATAATTAAATATAGATTAGAAATATTATATATTATTATTAACAGCATTTACATCAATTTAAGGAATATATACTCGTGTCTTAATATGTGATTTATCACGACATGTTTCGGGTCCACGTGTTCATCTTGAGGTCACTTCAATGACTGCCAACATTGCAGTGATTTTTGGATGGAAATTAAAACGTGAATATCAAGACGTGGGTCCCAAACACGTAGTGATAAATGAGTGTATAAAGAAATCAAGAATAATACGTATAATTTCTTCAACAACATTACGTTCCAATACAATCTTACGTACATCGAAGTTTTCGGTGTTTCCTCGGGATGAGATGAACCTCTTTCAGGACATCATGCGTCTAACAAAACAAAGGATGTCGGGAAAGGACACCAGTTAATTCAGAAGAGAGGCTTCAGACTGTATAGGACACATCCTCTTCGCATTATTTGGGATGTCACTACAGAGAACGTTTCTGCACGGCAGCGTTCTCAACGGATACCGACTTAGTTTCGTCTTTAAACGTCAGCAAATCTCCGGACCAAGAATCAAACCCGTGACTCTCCTAACAAAAAGCACGGCTTGCTTCATTCAAATAGTAGGCGAGTTGTAGTGGACCGCTGATAGTCTGGGGCAACCACTGACAGCGTTCATATTAAGGACTGAACTACTGATATGACGGAATCGGAACAAATTATCGCGGAACCGCCACTGAGTTATGCTGCCCGATTCGTGGGATGAAGCGAGCGAACTGTAGGACGGTATATCAAAATCGGTCGATTATAACGGTAATGGCATCGTAAAGGGTAATACAGTTCGGACGGCAATTCTGTGAAATTGAAGTACTTTGTTACGTATGGCCTCTGTTTCCGAGACGTACCCACTCGATCACGAGCATATAACAGCGCTCGAATTCCACCCACAAATCTTATTTCTCTGAAGTCACTGGATCGATTCCTATTGCCGATGAAGCGAACGAAATGTTTTATGATTTAACTCGCCTTCTTCGGGGGGAAATCACAGGAGGTAACAATGCAAAAATAAATACTTTTCTAATCAAAATATTTCCTCTTCCCTCCTCCCTTCCTTCTTTTCTTCTTTCCTTCTTGCCTTTCCTCCTTTCCTTCCACAATCAGAGAAATCATTGCCGCCTTCATAAAAAGTCGCCGCTTCTAAGCCACGTGAATCCAATCCACATCTTCACAACCTTTCTTCTAAGATATATTTTAATAGGCCTTGACCTCCCACACTGTATTTACCCTTCAAGATCTCCATTTAAAATATCTCCCATGCGTGGTACATGGCTTACCCACCTGATCCTCCTTGATAATTATTATGATTCCCCCATTTCAGGTTAGGTTTTAACTTCTTCCATAATGTTATTTATTTATATCATCCCTGGAAAATTAACTGTTTACAATAAACTCTGCTTTATGGAGCCTATAAATCTCTTTCTTAATTTCGTGCGTATGTAATAATGACGGAGTCGTATGGATGTATTTATCATTTGTGAGATTTGAGGTTCTCACGGCGGCGAATTTGAAGATAACTGTCTTCTGGGTTGTTGCGCCTGATAATGGAGGCAAAATGCACATCTTAAACGTCGGTAAACTTTTACCAGACTACATGGCACAACCAAGAATACAAGCTTTTATTGTTAATTGTTCATAATTAATATATATTAAATCTTGTCCGTCTAATCACAATAAATTCTTATTAAATATTAAAATATTATAATAATTAACATGATAATTAGTTTATGAATTTGTTTAAGACGAGCCAAAATCAATTCATGAACATATTACAATCAAATTTCTTTACATAACTCCTATTTTCGCTTTTGGTAAAGCTGATAACCCCCTAATACCGAATTTAGAATCATGCCACTAGAAATGTCATCGGTCAGAATATCTGATAAAATACCTCCGATTGTAAGAGTCGACTTTATATTTCTCTCGGAGCAGAATCACATTTTGTTCATTCACATCGGAATAACCTCAGAGTCTTTCTTTCCTTCCTCTGAACGAATGTCTAAGGGACCTACGCGGATTGATTTCCCAGCCACTTTTATATCTCCCGTTGCTATAAAGCCGAGATTGCAGTGCGCACTATTCAGGGAAACGGCTCTGTAGGGACATACTGATGCTGCCACCAGCGGGGGAGATAAAAAGTATCACCTCAAGTACGAAATGACCATGACTTCATCCCTTTATTTCATTCCTTTTGGCATGAATAAGATGAGCATTAAACGCGTAGGGTTCGAGTCAAATCGAAGGAATTTTTGGGGCCTGCAAGTGGATGTAAATCTACAGTAATATGTGCTCCAAAAAAAATTTATTTTGAATGAACTAGGTTTGCAGTCATAAAATTCTTTACGTATGACATTATGGAAATATATCGATTCCCGTTTCATTGGGGCACGAAGGAACACTAAGACAAATTTTATTACTTTCCTCCAATTCACAAATTGATAGTTAAAGTCACCGATTTCCTAAATAATTTATTATCAAAATTCCATTCTGCGTTCAATTTCGCCTGTCCATGCTACTGTTTAGCCCTTCCTACCTTCGCAGAATCTTGCGTTCGAGTGGTTACAAATTTTGTGTCCTATTTGTGAGAACCCAGTTTCGATTACCGATGAGGATGTTTACAATGGTAGCCGGAGATTCTCCTCAGACTCTTAAAGACCACTACCGATTCATTCCTTCCCACTTCAACATCAGTCTCTCTCTCTAGCATTCGATTCAATATAACCCTGATAAAATATCTTTGTTCACAGTGTTGCCTAATACAAATTCCAGCTATATCACGTGTACCCTAGAAAATTTCGAAACTACCTTCGGTTATGCTAGTAAAAGATATGAAGATGGTTGTCTTCTGGGTTGTTGCGCTTTGTAGTCTAATAGAAGTTTAACACTTCAGAGGACCTTGCTGCCTCCATCATCAGGGCAATGCCCGGTAAATTTGTACAAGACTACACGGTGCATCAACCCAGAAGACAGCCATCTTCAAATTCACCGCCGTGAAAACCTCAAAATCCTACATAGTAGAAGATATATTATCTTCAATTACCTTTGGACGTGGCATTCGTTAGCCCTGACCTAACCAAGGGTAGCTACAAGTAACTTGCCTACCCACAGCTAGTCTAGCCCAGTGGTATTCAACCTTTTTTGTTCGCGTACCCCCAGATATAATTTATATTCAACTTTGTACCCCCCAAAGTTGTTGGTGTATAATTCAAGTCATACGTAGTATATAATCTACATCTAAAATGAATTAAATAAATTACATTACTGATTATTCAGTGTTTATCATAAAATAATATTTTTCTTTAAATTTCACGTACCCCCTAAGATGTCTTCGCGTACCCCCAGATACAATTTGTCTTCAACTTTGTACCCCCAAAGTTGTTGGTGTATAATTCAAGTTATACATAGTATATAATCTACATCTAAAATAAATTAAATAAATTACATTACTCATTATTCAGTGTTTATCAAAAAATAATATTTTTTTAAAAAAATTCACGTACCCCCTAAGATGTCTTCGCGTACCCCCAGATATAATTTCTCTTCAACTTTGTACCCCCCCAAGTTATGCATAGTATATAAATTACATCTAAAATACATTAAATAAATTACATTACTGATTATTCAGTGTTTATCATAAAATAATATT